GTGTGTGTGTGTGTGTGTGTGTGTGTGTGTGTGTGTGTGTGTGTCTGTCTGTCTCCGTGTGTGTCTCTGTGTGTGTGTGTGTACTGGAACTACCGACCTTTCAGTCAGCAGCCAAGCACATTCACCCCTGGGATCCTCCGTGGGCTGGGCTCGGGCCTCCAGGGGCGGGGAGATAAGCCTGCCATCTCCCAGGGCCTTTCCCCTACTTTCCTGACCCCTGGGCACTGGGACAAGGGTCCTTGACTGGACGGCACTGGGGGATGTCCAGCTGCCCTGCATATGAGCAATGACCCGCCTGCCTTCCTGGCCACTTGGTAGCAGGCACCCTGACTCTGGCCTCTGCCTCCTGCCCTCTTGCCCCCTGCCCCAGGTACTTAACGGCCGGCCAGCAGTGGACAGAGAGCTGTTGGGGCCTCTGCAGAGGTGGCTGTGGGCCTCTTTCAGGCAGGCAGACAGGCCCGGGGCCCTGCCCACTCACCCGCCACTGTCCATGGATTTTGTTGCTGGCGCCATCGGAGGTAGATAAAGGGGACGGATGGGGGGCCATGAGGGGTGTCCTGCCCTGGGCTGGCTGGCAGGCCTCCCTCTGGGGTTGCTCTCTGAGGAAGTGCTGAAGACCTGGTACAGGCCATGGGAGGAGGGAGGAAGAGGATGCAGGACAAGACGGCTGGGTGGCCGAGGGCATCCCTGCCTAGGAGTCCTGGTTGTGCAGAGGGATGCCTGGGTTGTGGAAAGCAGCGAGGGGACGAGAGTCTGGGTGGACAGGGGCCAGCGTGCGGGTGACCTTCAGGGTGGGGGGCAGTGAGGCTGGCTGAGCCGTCCTTGCTGGGCCTGGGCACTGCTCCCAGGCCTCTCTCTGGGTTTGTTGGGTGTTTCCCCTGCTCAGAGGCTCTTTGTGGAAGACAGAGCCACAGAGAACCGCTGGTGAGGAGAGAACGCCAGGCCAACGCCAGTCGATGGCTGCTCTTTTGGACCCGGTGGCCCAGCCTTGTTTGTCTTTAGAGACAGAGACCGGCTGATCGATTCTTCTGGAAATAGTGTGGGGGCAGGAGGGGGATGGGAAACTTGGGGGAAGAACAGGGCACTGGCTTCTGAGTCAGGGGTCACATTTACCCCTACCCAGGCTTTGGAGGCCCTGCTCTCTGGGGCCGGTCACCTCCTGAGCGTGGGTCCCCTGAGGTGGAGGCTCAGGAAAGAGACTTGACTTAACCAAGGCCACCGAGCCGGGAGGGGTCCCTGAGCCCAGTGGTCATTTCCTCCTGAGTCCACAGAAGGGCTGGGCAAAAAGGGACCCTGTCCCTGGGCCTGGCCTAGAGGAGGGGGAGTGGAGGGGCAGCAGCAGGGCCAGATGACAAGAGCTCTGACCAACAGGCTTTCAGACACAGACTGCCCTGAGCATGGGACGGGGAGAGTTCTAGAGAGCAGGTGATGCTCTGGGTAGGACTTTGATGGATGCATAGGAGTTTAGTGGGTATTTGAGGGTACGTCAAAAACTACTGCTATCCGGATTCTAGTTCATACATGCTCATGTTTATTCCAAAGAGCATGTGTTTATACTTCTCTCTGACCCATGAAGGGCTCTTTATACCCGTCTCTGAGCAGCGTGCAGACACGTGCTCTCAGTAATGTCTGCTGTTGTTGCTAGTCGGCTCCAACCCATAGTGACCGTTTGCACAACAGGCGAAACCCTGCCCGGGCCTGCCCCACTCTCACAATCATTCCCAGGCCTGGGCCCGTTGTTGCAGCCAGGGGTCAATGGCACCTGGCAACAGCAACAATCACAAGTGGAAGGGCTCAGAATTCTCCAGGGAGGCCTTGGAGCAGTGTGCAGACTGAGCTGGAGGGGAGGTTGAAAGACAGGAGCTTCCCATTTGGGTTTATTTGTCCAGTAAAGGTTTCTGTGATTTGAGAGCAATGTTTTGTTTTGTTTTGCTCTTTGACTGACCTGCGGTTTTGGATCAAGGGAGGTAATTCTACCCGTCTCCCTGTGGGTCATTTGGCTCATTCCCTCGTTCACTGGCTCGCTTTGTTCTTCTATTCACATCGTTTTGGGGTCCTGGGACAACTCTGTTATTAGGGCAGAGCCCCCCATGTGCCTGATTGTCTTCAGGCAGCCTTCATCAGCCCCCCAGTGCAACCCTGGGACCTGCGACCTCCCTCACAGAGCTCCCCAAGAACAAAAGACGGGGGAGCGGGTGGCCCCTGGCCCACTGTGCGGTGTGCAGACAGCAGAGGCCATCTCCAGGCGGCTGGCCGTGACCCTCGAGGCCTCCCTGCCAGGGGTGGACTAGCAGCACTGTCTGTCTGTCTCACAACAGTGGGGACTCCAGGAGGTTCGGATCCTTCCTGTGGGACCCGGGCTGCTCCCACTTCTGCACCCTTGCTCTGCCTGGGCCTCTTCTGCAGCTGGTCACCAAGGCTGACGGAGGTCACTTCCTGGCTGATGGTACAGCCTGAGGGTGGCGGCTGTCCTGCCTGGGCTGGGGCAGCAGGTGTGGCCCAAAGCGGTGCCAGCAAGGAGGCTGGAGAGCCCTGGGTGTCCCCCAGGACCCAAGCTGACGCAGAGAAGGGGAAAGCTCCAGCCAGTGTGGCCCAGGAAGGACAAGCAGGGCCCTGGGAGAGGACGGGGTGGTCTGCCCTCTGCAGGTCTGGGCGTGCGCATGCCTTCCCCTTCAAAGGCCTCCTTGGCTGCCATCCACTCCTTCACCAAGCTCATCTGATCATTCCCTTCCAGGTATCTGCGGTGTTGCTGTGGGCTACCCCCTGGACACAGTGAAGGTTTGGTGATGACCAGGCCCTACTGCCCACCGAGCCCCCTGCTGGGCCTAGGCCACCCTTAGTGTCTCCTCTGCCCATCGAGACCAGAAGAGCTTTCCAGACTGTGAATTGGACCCACCCCTCCCCAGCGCAAATGCCGGCAGTGGTTCCCATGGCCTCCACCCTTTTCACCCTGGACCCCAGTTGCCTCATCTTCAACGGGGTCCCCGGTCCCTGCCCTGCCCACCACCAGCCATGCTGTTCCCCCTCCCCGGGGCCTGCTGGCCTTTCCTCACCCTGAGCCACCCCTTCCTGAAACCCACTCTCCCACAGGTCAGGGTGCAGATGGAGTCCAAGTACAGGGGCATCTGGCACTGCGTACGAGACACGTACCGCCGAGAGCGGGTAGGTCAAGGGCCAGGGGCTGGCGGGCAGGGACAGCAGGATGGGCCTCGTGCCTGCCACTCACCAACCAGTGCCCTTGGTAATGGTTGTCCTCCTTCTTGTGGTCATTGGCGCTGACGCTGGGCTGCCCAGCACCCAAGGCTCAGAGCGAGGCCCCTGCCTCCAGGTGAGCAGCAGTCACCAGCTAGGTGGCCGGAGCCCCTGCAGAGGAGGGGCCTGGGGTTGTCCGTGCCTTTGTGCTCCCTGGGACATGGAGTGCTCGTCTACATTGTCCACCTGTGGGGTTTCACAAAGGAGCCTGGGTTGCAGGTTACATGTTGGTCTGCTAGCCCCAAGGTCGGCGGTTCGACTCCACCAGCTGCGCTGTGGGAGAACTAGGAGGCAGTTTTCTTTTGGAACAATGTGCACCTTAGAAACCCACGGGGCCGCCCTACCCTGTGCTCAGGGCAGCCGGGCCAGAATTCACTCAAGGGAAGCGCGTTTGTTTGCTTTGTTTTTAGTGTGGCATTTTTGGGGAAGGTGGGGGAGGATTTAGTGGGAAGCAATCATCCCACATTGACTGCATTCTGCCATCTAGTGGGGTCCTGCATAACTGCTTCAGTCTGAGACCCAACCCCAGAGACCTCTTGGGACCTATGTGTTCCACTGATTGTATCCAAAGCCATTTTAAGACCTCAAAAAAATTTCTTTTTCTTTCCATTTCACTCAAGATGCACGCCTCCATTAGGGAAAATATTATTTCAAGAAGAAATTAAAGTAGAAAAATAGTTCTTTCTTGGGAAGGTTAAGAGAAGTGAACTTGGATCTGGGTATAGGCTGCAGAGAGCAGCCATTAAACACATCGGTGTAGCCCCCTCCTTGCCAGACGTTGGGAGTCTGGCCTCTGAGGGATTTACAACTGAGGAAGTTGCGTGCCGAGGCAGGGAGTGACCTGCCCCAGGGCCCTGGGGCAGCCGGCAGAGGAGCCCAGACACCAGCTCCAGGGGCCCAGCCTGGCCCTTTGGGCAGCTCCTCCCGGCCTGGCCCTGGCCTGATCTGCCTTTGGTTTTGGCTGCCCTCCAGGTGACCGGCTTCTACAGGGGGCTCTCACTGCCCGTGTGCACCGTGTCCCTGGTCTCCTCCGTGTCTTTCGGCACCTACCGCCACTGCCTGGCACACATCTGCCGGCTCCGGTACGGCAGCACCGACGCCAAGCCCGCCAAGGCCGACATCACCCTCTCAGGATGCGCCTCGGGCCTCGTCCGCGTGAGTGGGGCACGGGCAGGCAGATCCGGGCACCAGGGCGGCAGGGGGTGAGGGCACACAGTGAGTTGGGAGGAGGACCCGGCTCCGCTCTGGGCCAGAGTGCTCACTCACTCTCTAGCTGGCTGGTGGAGTCCTGTCCTGTAGGGAGACTGCTGTGGAGTTGCCCAGGCTGGGCTGGGCAGGCATCATGGGCATGGTTCTAGTTCCAAGTGGGTACCTTTGTCAGGCTGGGCACTCAGCTAAGGTCCCTGCCCTCGGGGGCTCACGAGCCAATGGTGCATAGTGACGCACATGTCAGACAACAGAACATTTGGGGCCACGGCAGGGCTGTGAGGGAGTCAGGTATTCAGGCTCGGACTCTCCTTAGCCAGGGGACGTTGGGTAAGCTATGGAGTCTCTCCAATGCCTGTCTCTTTATCTGTGAGAGGCGAGGATCACATGAGACCCTCGGGGTAAAGCCCCAGTATGCATGGGGCCTGACACGAGTGATTGCCTTGTCACTCATGCTTTTAGCCTCCTTCTGTTAGTGTGAGCACACCTGGAAGAATCAGGGCCAGCATGTCCCTTAGAAGCAAGGATGAACTCCAACCCCAACCCAACCCACTCCCATCCAGTCTGTGCCGGCTCACAGCGACCCCACAGGACAGGGTGGAACTGCCCTGTGGGTTTCCCAGACTGTCACTGTTTTCAGGAGTAGAGAGCCCCATTTTTCTCCCATGGAGTCACTGGTGGTTTTGAACCACTGACCTTGAGGTTAGCAACCCAACCAGCAACTATTACTCTACTTGAGTTCTTAAGATGAACCCAGTATTTAAAAAAAACAAAACAAAAATAACCCCCAACCAAATACCAAAATGAATGCCAGCATCTGTAAGATGAGAGAGGGGCCCTGGTTGGTTTAGTGGTTAGGTGCTGGGCAGCTGGTCACTAGCTGGGCAAAAGGTCACTAGCCCCTATGCAGGAGGAGGGCATGGCCGCCGCCAGCTTTCGCAAGACTGAAAACAAAATGAAAAAACAAAAGTGGCTGCCAACAAGTGGATTCTTCAGGGTGGGGCTGCCCTGTGTGGTCTCCGGGCTGCGATGTTCAGGGAAGCAGTCGGCTGCTCTTTTCACCCGAGGGGCCCCTGCAGGTTCCAGGCACCGACCTCCCTGTGGACAGCCAAGTGCTCAACTGCTGAACTGCCAGGGCTTCCTCCGCAGGGCTGACAGTCGTGGGGGCCCTAGGGGAGCAGGTGTGCTCTGTCCTGTAGGTTGGCGGAGTCCAGGAAACCCGGTTGACAGTACAGGCCAGGAAGGTTGTCAGATCCAGAACGGAGGCTAGTTCTCAGTACTCAATGACAACCCAATGGATTTCTCTGTCAGGCTGGACCCTCGAGAGGACCAAAGCGTGTGGCAAAATGCACATAGACTCCAACCACTAAGAAACGGCGAGACATTTATGGTTAGGTGGCAGAGCAAGAGCGGAAAGGATGGCGAGGCTCAGTTGCAAGTACTTCAGACCTGTCATCGGGAGAGACCAGACCCTGGAAAAGGGCAGCCATCATACTTGGTCAAGGAGAGGGTCGGTTGGAGGCCGAGGAAGACCTTCAGTGAGAGGGACTGACGCCGTGGCTGCCCCAGTGCCCTGTCATGGGAAAGGCTGTGGAGATGGTGCCGGACCGGGCAGTGTTTCCTTCTGTTGTGGACAGGGCCGCAGGCAGTTGGGTCTCTACTGTGTGCTAGGCACGGAACCACAGCACGTACTCTTGTTAGATACATTCAGGACTCCAGTCACAGGCCTTGACTTAACATCTGAGCTCGGAGGGGACCCTGGTGGCTTAATGGATTGTGAGCTGGGCTGCTTACCAGAAATCCAGCAGTTCCAACCCACCAGCCACTCTGAGGGAGAAAGAGAAGGCTTTCTATTCCTCTCAACACTTAGCGTATCGGACGCCCACAGGTTTGGTCCTACCCCATTCTGTAGGATTGCAATGAGTTGGCTTCGGCTTGATGGCCGTGACTTTGAGAGAGGCAGTGTATGTTGCCGACGACTGAAGGCGCTGGCTTTGACCTTGAGGGGCAGGCTAGTTTTGAACCTCAGCTTTGCCGCGGCCTTGGGTGGCCTGCAGCGTCTTGGGGTCCAGGCTCACCAGTGTCACTATGGGAAGGGTGAGGATGGCGCCTCCCTTGTCCACCGTGGTGGTGGTGGTATTCCTACCTTCTTCTTGCCCCAGGTGTTCCTGACCTCGCCCACTGAGGTGGCCAAGGTCCGCCTGCAGACCCAGACACAGCAGCGGCGGCTTTCAGCCTCGGGTCCCTCAACTGTGCCTCCCATGTGTCCTGTGGCCCCTGCCCCGGAGCCCAAGTACCGTGGGCCGCTGCACTGCCTGACCACGGTGGCCCGTGAGGAGGGCCTCAAGGGTCTGTATAAGGGCAGCTCGGCCCTGCTTCTTCGGGACGGCCACTCCTTCGCCACCTACTTCCTGTCCTATGCCATCCTCTGTGAGTGGCTCACACCCACTGGCCACAGCCAGCCAGGTGAGCCGGGGCTGGCCTGGGAGGGCAGGAGGGGTGGGGGTGGCTGTGGGTGGGGAGGCAGGCAATCCACCTGGAATTCAGAGGGATGAGATTTAGCTAAGGCATCCCACAGTGGCCCCTGGGTGAGCCCCTGGATGGGTGGAACCTCAAGTCCCCTCGTCTGTAAAATGGTCCTTCTGCGTGTGGGCAAACAGTTTGGCTCTGCCACCAAGCTCCCTTGCCCACATCCAGGCCTCAGTTTCCCTACTCCACCAGGGCTGGGCTGAGACCCTGGGTGGCCCCTGACTCCTAACCGGGGGCACTCGCTGGCCTTCCTGCAGATGTCGTGGGAGTGCTGGTGGCCGGTGGCTGTGCAGGGGTCCTGGCCTGGGCCGTGGCCACCCCCATGGACGTGATCAAGTCGCGCCTGCAGGCGGACGGGCAGGGCCAGCAGCGGTACCGAGGCTTGGTGCACTGCGTGGTGGCCAGTGTGCGGGAGTCGGGGCCCAGCGTTCTCTTCAAGGGGCTTGCTCTCAACTGCTGCCGGGCCTTCCCGGTCAACATGGTGGTCTTCGCCACCTACGAGGCTGTGTTGAGGCTCACCCGGGGCCTGCTCTCGTAGCTGGGCCCCAGCGAGAGTGCCCTGCGGGGACCAGGCTAGAGCCCAGCTGCTGTCCCCTGGGGCAGGTTTCAGCCAGGGTCTCTGCCTCCCTCAGCCGGCTGCATCCTGGTCCTGGCTTGTCCTGCCTCCAGCCCTCACCCACTCACTGCCCTGGCCCCATTTGTATTTATTGTGCTGCTGGTCCAGGGGTGGCCTCTCAGACGTTGGGGTGACCAGCAGCCTATGGCTCTGGGGGCCTCCCAACCTGGGGGCAGCTCGAAGGCTGTGGGACTAGGGGTTAATAAAGCATTTCTGAGGCTCTGAAGGGCTGTTGGCCCACTTCTTGTCGTCCCCCCCCCCCGGTGTGGCCCCACCCCACCTTGCAGCCAGCAGTCATTCAAAGCTGTCTGTGGTGTAGAGGGACATATGGAGGCTACCTGGCCCTGCTGGCTCTGCACTAGGCCTCTGGGGCCTGGGGGTCCCCGACCTGGGTGTGGAGCCTGCTGCAGGGGCTCTTCAGCGGGTAGCTGGCTTCCTGGTTCTCTGCTCAGACCCCCTTCTGGGGTGATGCCCATTCCAGCTAGCTCCACCAGCGGCCCTGGGTCCTGCTTGCCCCAGTAACTGGTTTTAAGGCCCCTTTCTGGAGGGGACTGCTGTCGGAGGAGCCGGCAGGGGTCACTGCAAGGAAGGGATGGGGGTGGGCTTTTCACCTGCCTGTCCAAGACCCCGGCCTCTCTCTGCACCACGAGGCTGCCAGCCGTGGGGCCCAAGTCGTGGTGAGGGCATCAGGAGAGCCACCCGGCCGTGCCCGCAGTACAGCTCGGATGGGTCCCGTGACTAGACCTCTGGGGGAGCCACTGCTGTACTGGGGTCTACCTTGGGTCACAGGGTCCCCGGCTTCCCCGAGCACTGTGCATAGGCTCTGCCCCTCAGCCCGACCCGTCTTGCTCAGTGGCACCGCCTCCTCCAGGAAGCCTTCTGACCTCTGCCTGCTCCCAGGGCTCTGGCTGAGCTATGAAAGGCAGTACGGTCCAGTCCGTGTGGGCATGTTTCCGGGCTCAGAATGAATCAATGCAGGAGTGAATGAGATTCCTGGTACCCCACCTGCCCCGTCTCCAGCATGCTGGGAAAAGGGCGGGCAAGAGGCGGATCCACCTGCAGGCAACAGTGCTGGCTCTGAAGGATGGGTTGGGAGCGGGACGCTGGCTCCCGAAGACCTGGCAGGTGCCATTAACGTGGCCATGATCCTGTGACACCTGCTCCACAGGAAGTGGACCCAGCCTCTCCTCGAAGGCAGGAGCTGAGAGTGTGCACGGAGAAGGGCTGTCCAGAGCCACGTGGCCATACAGGCCAGGGTGGGGCTTGCCTCTGAACTTGAAGGTCCAGGGCTCTCTAGTGGGGGGTGAGGTTGGCATGTGCTGTGAACCGGGTGCACCGCCCCCACTCCAGCTTGCTTGCTTGTACCAAGTAGTTTCTGGAAGAGGCCTGGGACCTGTCACTGTGCCCACTCCGGTCAAGGCAAGCCCACTGCCCTCATGGAAGCCTTGACTGTGCTGGGAGGTGGTGTGGGGGGCTACCCTACGCACCAGCAGGGCCTGTGGGCAAGTCCTTTGGCCTTCTGGACCCCACACGGCTGCCAGTGATCTCGCTGCCCACGTGAGGAGTGGGGCTAGCAAGGGCAGTGGTTACTGAGGGGCTGGCTGGTGGGCCCCTGACCACACACCTCCTTCCCCCTCATGGGGGCAGCAGCTATGTGGCCCTGGGGCTTACAGTTCTCCCTGAATCTGGGTACTTGAACCTGTGAAGGGGGCAGGAGGCTGGGCAGGGAGAGGTCACCCCAGCCTCTGCTGACGCTGTCACCTGACCAGAGGCCCCTTCTTGTCCCCAGCTAGCTGTGAACGAGGTCTGAGTGTGGCTCCCTGGGGCCCAGGTCTCCCCCTCTACCTCACCCCCAAGCCCTGGTGACCCACCAGACTCCAGCGCCATGCCTCCCACCCTAGAAGTGACCCACCAGGTGTGGGCCAGCACCGCAGCGTATCTGGGCTTCAAGTCCCCCCATCCTCCCGCTGGCCCTAGTCCTTGCCCTCCAACATCACAGTGGCCATGGGTTCCAGAAGCCCTCCTCCTCTCACCCAGCTGTGACCCACCAGCACACCACCCCATGCCCGCAGACTCCACCGTGGGCACACAGCCTGGATCCCCACCAGACAGAACTCGCCACAGATAGAGCAGAGCAACTTTATTCAGGGCAGCAAGAGCATGAGAGCAGGGTACGTCCAGCCAGGCTGCCCCCAAGATGCCATCTGCCTTCCCACACTTGCTCCGGGGCACAGACACAAACAGGGCAGCCCCCTTGCCCAGGGACACGACCGACCGGCCTGGCTGTAGGCTAACTCCCTCATCAGTTAGGATGAACAGAAGAGAGGGCTGGCACGCCTTTGCAAGGGGCACGTGTGTGGCCCAGAGCCAGGGCACACATGGGGTGCAACTGAACACATTAACAAAGCCAGGCGGGCGCTGGGCCGAGACCCGCTGGTGGGTGGCTTCTCTTCACTCGCTCGCCATGCTCCTTACTTCCGTGTTCATGAAACCCCGGGGAAGACTGCACCCACGGAGGGTCCCGGGCAGCATGCTTCGGTTGACGGAGAAGACCTAGTCTACGAGGGAGGGGGCTGCTGTGTCGGACGGAGCCTTAGGGACACTTGGGAATGGGCCGCTGTCCTGCAGAGTGGGGCACGCTCCGCCCGCGGCTGCCACGCCGACAGCAGCTGCTCTGACAGGTGGCATTCACAGAAGTGGTGGCATCGACAACACACTGGGCTAACAGGTAGCGGGGGTGGGCTGGGCCCCGCCAGGAGCACCTGACAGGAAGGGGTGCTACTGGAAGTCGAAGAACAGCTTCCGGGGTGTCATGAACTCTTTCACCACCTCATCCGTGACCTCCTGGCGCCGGGCCTGGTGCTCGGCCACCAGGGGCTGCAGCACATCGATGAGGGCCTTCTTGAGCTCACCTGTGAGCATGGCGCCGCTGCTGTAGTCCT